TAAAATATTCGAGTGGGCCCCTTATTCATGTGAGGGGGGTGTACACCGTGATGTATACCTCGATGTACTGGTAGCATTGCTCGTAATGTAATAACTTCTTATTAAAATTAAATTAAAAGGAAAAGGAAATTGGCTTTTCCAATTATTTAGTGTCCTCCTTGAGCACAATCAATTATGAGGTATGATAATCGATGCAACTATCAAGAGGGCCCCACTTTGTGGAGACCAGAGGCGTGCCCTAATCATAAATTGATTTGACATCCAAAAACTTTTTCATCACATTATCTGGGCCGAGCCCTGGCCCACTTGTACTTTTAGGCCAACTTTCATTTGTGGCTCACGGTGCTTTTATCCTAGCCTTTTAGTGGAACTATTATTACAAATTGGAGTGCAGCTATCCTTTTTTCTTTCTTTCTTTTTTTCCTTTTTTTAAAGGTTTTCCACTTGCCCAAGAAAATTATAGTTTGACCCTTCGAAAGGTCCTTCAATTTGAGCATAATTTCTTGGGAAAATCCGTATAGATCGAGACTATCTTCACAAACTTCTCTTATATGTCCCTATATAAAGTTAATCGTTTTGTTTAAATTGTTTAATCACTCAATAGCTCAGTGTTCATGATGTGCTACAGAATCTCTCTTGAATTTAAATTTTTAAATTTGAGAATAAACAAATTTGTATAGAAACATGAATAGAGACAAAAAGATTGAAGAAGGCGAAAATTTTGAAAAAAAGAAATGTGAAAACAATTTTTCATATTTAGGGTAGAATTCTATGATTTACAAAGAAAGTACTTCGTGTAGATAATAAACTTCAAGTCAATTCTCGAGATGTACCCTAGACAACGATGCTTACCTAAAACCACATGCCACTATCGCATTGTAACACCTATATTTACATCTCATATATTATTGTCTCATAAGTTTATAATTACATGTACACTAGTTCTTTATAAGGTAATTTTAAAAGGGAACTATATTCAACACGGTTGTCCTCACTACTCGCTCGAGAAGGAGAGATTGGTCTCGATCTTCCATTCCATTTGCTATCAAGTTGTTATTTAAAGTAGTTCTTATCTTTGAAATATTTTAGGGTTCTTCAATTTGTTGCATAACAATACCATAAGTAATTCACAATTCGTGACCTTTTAGGTTATTGGGATATTTAATTTGTCAAAGTGACAAAGAT